AGGTTAAATTCAATATATGTTTTTGAATTTTCGAAAAGAAACACTTGATACAAGCAAGTCGGTGCAGTATAGTGCTAGGTATCCATCCCCCCCGCCTTGCAGCGGAGCAGGGTAGAGCAGAGCAAAAGTAACGGTTTAAGTTACCCCACTACCACTACTGCTACCCTCGCACACTACGGTGCTTGCTTGCTCGTCCCCTCGGCCCCCTCGCCATAAAACGAGTGCGGTACCGTGCGGTCCGACTTTCTTTTCTACGACACCTTGGTTTTGTGGCGCTTGATTGCTTTTTCTCCTTCTTTCCTCGCTTCGAGTGCCAATTAGTCCTTGAGTGCCGTACAGTACAGTGCGTACTCGGGTACAGTTTGACGCATGAAAAGCGGATTTATCACGAGAACCGGTGTGGACTCGAGTATTCACTTTCTTTTTCTTCTTTTTTTCTTTCTTTTTTCCTCCTTTTCTTTTCCATATTACTTTTTTCTTGCTTCCTTACCCCTTGGCCCCATTCTACGGATGTACTCGTAGGATGCTTTTTTTGGGGGGGGGAGGACTTTTTGTTTGTTGTTGACGACGGGGACCACGACGACGGCGGCGATGATGATGGGTATGATACGATAAATTTACCCAGCGTAACAGGTGCCCACACAAGTATGATACTACCTTTAAGTCACCCCCGCGCTGGCTGGTTGGCTGGTTGGCTGGCTGGACAGGCGGAAGGGCGGAAGGGCGGCAGGGTAGAGGGGCGGACAGACGGGACTGAGCGGATATGATACTGTATGATACCGGCACCATATCACGACGATAAGGGCATGGTACGAGCACCAGGCTAACTGGCTACCTTCCTCCTCCTCCACACCCAAACCCGGGGAAAACCCTCCTCTTCCCGTAGAAATCATAATCTTCGCCACGACGCCGTGGTGCGTGTCGCTTTGTTCCAACCCGGTTATGATATCAAAAAAGTGGCTGCCCCGGCTGGCACGCTAGGTTAATTCTAATCTCGAGTTTTTCGTTTTTTTCTTTTTTTTAAAGGAACTTTCTCTTTCTTTCTTTCTTTCTTTCCCCTCGGGGGATGGAGTTGTAAATTTACCGGTATGCACGAGTACTCGAGTACCGGTATGATACCGTACTCGAGTACAGTATCATACCGCCCCTCAAAGGGCCGTGGGTGGTGTGGGGGTAGAGGTTTGGAGGGTGGTACGGCACGAGGGTGATATTCTATTGAACCGGCGTCCCTTCTGTTCCTCGACTCGTGATTTTTATTTACTTATTTTTCTCTTCTTCTTTCCCACCTCCTCCGAGGGGGAGGGGATAAAGTTGACTTAGGTTATCATACAATTGCGGGTTGCGTGGGGTGTCTGGACTGCGCCGAAGCCCTCCGCTATAATGTCGGCATTGAGCTCGCGCTTCTCCACCACCGTGTGTCGGCTTTTATTCCGCTCACGATCCCATACGGTAGACTACCGTACCGTACGGTAGTCTACCCACTCGCTCCACCCACTCACTCGCTCGTAAGGCACAGCACACCACAATACACCACCAACACCACCACGAAAAGAAAAAAGAAAAGCTTTATAGGGGTGGAGTGTCTGTCTGTCGTGGGGGAGGAAATCATGAACTGGAGCACCCCAGTCAAAAGAAACTCCTCTTTCTTGGCAAACCCACTGCTGGGATTAGCAGCTTACCACCCGAGTTGCGACAATTGGGTCCCCCCACACTCAATCTTCAAATCCTTTCCCCTTCTATTTTCCGAATCTCCAGCCCGTGAGCTACTAGGAGAGTACCAAAATGAAAGGTTGTTGGAGAGCATTAGCACTCTGGAGTTGCACGCAGCACGTTTCTTCGGGTCGGAAGCGCTGGGGTTAACCCCCACAATACTTCCCTACCAATCCGAACCCCCCCCCCCCCCCCCATACCCGGTGCGATGATAAAATTTCTACAAAGCATACCGCCACTTTCTCATACCGGTATCATACCCTCTCCACCAACCTTTTCACACCTTATCTGCTAGCATTCTCAGCGGGCCAGTCTTGTCTTGCATCTTGCATCGGCAATTTACCCGAGGGGAATGAAAGAAGGTGTGAAACTTGAATCAAGTGCACCTATAGCTCATGTATGGTACTATACGAGTACTTGTATGATGAGGGCAGGTTTGGGGGAATCTCAGATCCTCCCGCGTTAGCCACCTCGATGGGATTGAATAGGGTATGACAAAGATTATTCATTGGCAGATCCAATAATCCTCGATCGATGAGCTATGTGTATGATGGAATGCACTTACGGAAACTATCATATCGTGAGTGCAATTAAAATGCCCCCCATGTGAGATAGGGCGGCCTTGTCCATGATACGGTGCTCATATCATACGGCAGTCCTTGAGTCTTTGACTACCAATCATCTGCTCCTTTTGTTTCTTTTTTTCTCCTGGTTTTTTAATTCACCACCCCTTGAGTGTGTTTTAACTTGGTCTAGTTCTGTCAGTTGGTTCACTGCGGCTCGTCCCGTTTGGCATTCCGTTAGGGAAGCATGGGGGTTCCCTCCCCCCCCCCAGTCCGCCAGCCCTCCACCCCCTAGACGTGATGGAAGTACCGTATGAGAGAGATCGATGCTAATTGCAGAGCACAGTGTGATAGCACCCTGGTTTTTCCCCCCGACCCACTCGTCAGGAACATCAAGTATCGCGCCTGCATTTCTATTATACAGATATCCCACGGATGGGATGGTAGAATAAAGTAGATATATACTCCATTCATAGCGCCTCCTGCAGCGGGTCCTGTTTTTTCGTGAATCTCTTCTGGAACTGCCCTGCCCCTCCACACAATGGTCTGATTGATACACTCTACTATCATTACCGTTGTTGCTCTCCTCCCCCTTCTCTCATCCCCTCGTCCCCCAAGTGGTTTTTTACTTTTTCTTTCCTTTCCTCCCCCCCCTAATTCTTTACTTTTTCACTCATTCGATCCATCATAAATACCAGGTGACCCCATCCCCCCCGGAATAAAAGAAAAGTCAGTCCTTTTCGCTATCTCCCTCTTTTGGAACCGAGAGCCCGTTTGTTATTCCTATCGCGCCTCGCAGAGGGGATAAAGAGGAGGAAAGACACGAAAAAAGGAGGAACAGATGTTTCGTGGCTACAACCAAACACTCGTCGTCCCTCCTCGAAAGCTCCCGATGGGTGATTGTGGCTTTATCGCAATCAAGGACCCAGTAGCGCCAATGGCCCACCCGGGCTCACAGAGCTCACGATGCAATTGTCGAAATTACTGGCCAAACCCTCATTCGGCCGAGATGTGTGCTTGTGGGCACCATGCCTGTTACCATTCAGCCGAGACGACCATGGCCCCAACAACGACGACAGTCATGCCCTCCACCCCGAGCACGTTTCTAACGATCGGCGCGTATGCGAGTATGATGACTCGGATAGCTCGCTTGGAAGAAAGGCTCGAGGTACACGAGCTTGAGAGGAGGAACCAGATTGCTGCCGATGGCATGAACATGGAAAGATTGATGGGTGTGCTACGTGAGCTAGATGCGAGGATGACCGATCTGGCCGAGAGAATTGAAGAAGCCGAGGAAAGGCTGTTTGGTGATGAGGGACACGGCGTCGCGTTAGAGGCACGCTTGTACGATCTGGAAGGAAGGACCGAGGAGCTGGAAGAGGACATCGAAGCCATCAAGGCATCCGTATTTGAAGACGAAATGGAGCGTGAATCCAGCGGAACCCAGGAGAGCGATATCATGCAGGAGGAAGATATCAAGGAGGAAGCGAAGGATACCAAACACGAGACACCCCACCCTGCACCATTCATTCCACCGCCCGTCAAGCAGGAAAAGGAGGGGTTCCATGGGGAGCGGCGGAGCAGAATCCCCCCAGTAATGATGGACGAGGAGGAGGGCTGTACTCTCGAGCCAGACACTGACCCGGAGGATCCACCAATCGACTTGGAAGCTATTTTCCCACCACACCCGGCGGATAGGGTCCGCGTAATCAAAGCCGTACGCCAGCGTCTCTCTCACGGGGGTATCGGACGCTCCGAACAACTTGACCCATCTCCGCCTATGAAAAGAGCACGTAGGGCTTGCGCCGATTAAGTTAGATTGCTGTCATCGTCATGAGATTAATGTTCGGGGGAGGAGGCGTATGGGCTTGCTTTTTGAATTTGAATTCGGCGCTTGATATTTTCTCTTGTATTTTAGAGCGGGGTTTGTCCTTTTGGAGGGGGGTGGGGGCGGTGATTGTGAGATTTGGCGCGAGTTCTTAGACGAGTTGAGGTCGTTTCTTTCGTCGTGGGGTGACTTAGAAGGCTACTCATGAGCCTTTTTTTTTTTTTTTTTTTGAATGAAGATTGCCGACATCGGAAAATCCTTTTTTTCTTTTTCCCCTCCTTGCTGTAGGACAATGTCTCTTACCCATTGCTAAAGTTAATTAAATTGGATACCGGTATTGCATGGGTGAAGCATCTTTGGTGGACAGGTCAGTTCCCCGACCCCCGGCCCCCCCCCCCCCTCGTAGAAATGTCAGCTCAGGGTACCGGTACTCTACAGTACCGTACCGGTATCACCCTCGGACCACTCAAGTGCTACTGTTTCGTCTCCACAATTCGAGTGGCTACAGTATGATATTGACAGCATACGAGTGACAGAAGATGATCACCCGCAACCAATGATTCCGCGGTATCCCTTCCAGTGCCCGGAAAACCCCACGGATCCTTTTCCCCCACCGAAAAAAAAACGTTCGAAACGCTTTGCTATCATTAGAGTGACGCCATTAGTTGGTTGGTTCTGCGGGAGCATGAGACGAGCACGAACCCCGCATCATGGACATTTATCAAGGCAGCCAGTCAACATGGCATAGGTTCGTGATTAAAAGAGGGGGGAACAAAAATCGAGAGAGGCATCCCACACACAGCGTGATGGCTCCATCTTCTTCTCTGGCTCACTCAGGAGGAGGAAGATGAGATGCGGGAGCTATATACAAGTATCATGGAAAAAAACAGAGACGCTTTATATCTAACTTGTATATATGATACCCCTACCACTCCGCAAAAAGCCAGTGATAGCCAACCAACCGGAGAATATCGGCGAGATAACTTTCAATCCGTCATAGACACAAAAACGGGGGAAAAGCGCTTGCTTGTATGCATGTGTCGCTGATCTTGACATAACCCTTGCATAAATAATTATCATCATATCCCATTGGGCCCTTTTTTCCCTTTTGGTCTCTTGTCACGATGTAACTGTGCTGTACTGTGCTGTACCGCGTTAGGGTCCAACGCTATAGTACACTACTCGTATGGATGCTCCTTTTCTCTGTGATTGCAAACCAACTTGAAGTGATATCATTACACATACTCGTGGGGGAAGGAAGGATAGTACAGTACATGATTAACCAACATCATCATCAGTTATAGAAAGAAAGAAAAAGTCGACAATTTTAGATTTCAAACCGCTGCCCTACAATCCGCGCCGAATCCACAAAAGACGGAAAAAAAAAGCAAAAAGCCATATACAGATACCGGTGATAGAAGACAGAGAAGAGAAAGGTATACCTCCCAGGATAATTGCAAGACGGAGAAACGCGAATGGCACGCCGATGAAAGAAAGGATCCCTATTTTTTTTTTTTTTTTGTCAAATGTTCCGCTCGTGCAGCGCGAGAGCTATAGTGTAAGCCTTATTCAGGAATGTTGTGGTTATTCATACAAATCATGAGATGAAGTGAGGGAGGAATGGGAATGGGAAAGGGAGGACAAAGGTTTTGTAGGAAAAGAAGAGGGAAAGGAGGGTCAGAAAGAGAAATAAGTTGGACTAGAAAATAGGATTTGAGGTGGCAAAAAGTACACCGCAAAGTTCTTTGGTCAGGGGAGAAGTAGTTTTGTTTGCCAGAAATTTTTTTGGTCCCGTCGTTACGCATGATGGACATAAATAAGAGTGATTTTTAGTGAGATAAAGGGAAGAAAACCCATGACATTAATAATTCGTTTCGTCGTTGTGTCCCAGCAATCTTTTTCAAGGCGCGCCCCAGTCGGCCCCAGCAATCCTTCCATTCAAGTGGAATTTTCCTATTTTTTCGAACCCCCTATTACGATCAGCATACTTCGTAGTACTTGAAGGGGTTCGGAGGGGGGGGGGGGGGGGAGGAACTTACCTGGCCAAATCAACACCTTGCATGTCGCCAAGTTCATCCTCATCGTCATCCTCCTTGATATCTGGTATGAGGCTTGTCCCACCTCTTGACCCCGCCAAGTGAAAACCACCGCCACGTTCTTTCAGCGGGCTACCCAATTCCCGAATCCTGCTGCCTCCCTCAGGTCCAGAAACCGGCGGTGGAGAAGAACTATGCAAATCCTTCAAAGGACTATAGTCTCCAGGCTTTGCAGGTGTAGACCCGAATTGGACATATTTCCAGAACGGGGCAGGAGAGGAGGTTGGAAGGTAGGACGACGGGAGCTGCCCGGTGGAAGGAGGGGCAAGGCGGGGATGTTGGCGCTGTGGAGCAGGTGTTACCGCACTCAATGCCGGGTGATCATCCGCATAGGGAGAATGCCGAGACGGCGAAGGCATGTTGGCGGGATCGCCGTGGACTGATGATGGGTGGTGGTTCTGGGAAGACGAAATCATATCATTGGCGTGTGCCCCCGTGATAATACTAGACCTTCGGGGGTGGTGGGGGTTGGTTGATAAATCGTTCAAGGCTTTGTCCGGGGCACGCAGGGCTGGAAGACGAGATCCACGATCAGGTGTGTAGGCCTCTAGTGGCGCAACTCTGCTATAGGAGGCAACCGGAGGTGGTGTGACAGATCTTGAGTTCTTGATCGTGGGATATCCCGCGCCCAGATCGTGAGAATCATCTAGCCCCAAGCCTCGAGGAGGAGGAGAAGGTTGCGGAAGCTGCTGGTTCACTCCATATTGAGCCTGGCCCTGATTACTCTTGGCAGGCTTGGGTGAGGATGGCGACCCTGGCGCAGATCCGGGACGCCCGGAGCCAGTCTTGGTAACCTTCTGGATCTTCTTGATATATTCGTCACGATGTTCGGCAAGCAATTCCCACTTCATCCCTTTACCTGGTTCATCGGTACGTCGAGGAATCTTACGGAAAGCCTTGTTGAGCGAGAGGTTATGTCTGATGGAGTTCTGAAGGCACATGTCAGGCTGACCGAACCAAAAGGAGAAAATAACGGTGACTAACCTGCCAACCTGTGTTGGAATGCCGGTAGAAGGCATATTTCTCTGTGATGAAGGAATAAATGGCGGAAAGTGTGAGCTGCTCCCCCTCACTGGACAAAATAGCCTGTGCTATCATCATGGCGTAACTATAGGGCGGCTTCATGTCTTTCAGGGAATCATCAGAGTAATCGATATTCTCGGCTGTCAAAACAACGCCGCGAGGAAAGGTTGGCTCGTCCTTTCTCCTAACAGGTTCCGGCTGCGATGGGCTCTCCGTGATGATGGCCGGTGGAAGCAATTGCTGCTGCTGGGATGAGGACGGCCTGGGGCCCTGCGAAGACGGCATTGTAGCGGTATCATAACTTGAAGAGTCGTTGCTCTGGGTGGTTTGCAGTTGAAGATCGTCCTCGATCGGAGCCGGGGCCCTCGCACGCTGCAGGAAGCAGGAGTGAATGGATGCGGGTTTATCAGGCAAGACAAACATCATCTGCACCCCACCAATCTCGATAATACTCCCACTCTGGAGCACAATGACCGCGTCCTTCTTGTACGGCTCCTCATTCACCTTCAAACCGTTCCTTCCCAAGACACGCAGTTGCCAATTCCGGTCCCCGGTCATGTCATAAGTGATGATAGCATGGCTCCTGGAGACCAATTTGCTGGGGCCCAGGTCAATATGTACGATGTCTTCAGTCTTCTGTTGTGGTGGAGGGGTGGGGGATCCGGCGGTGCCGGGGCGGGCGTCGGGCGGGCGACCGATGCGGATGGTCAGCTCCTTGACGTAATAGGTCCACGAAGCACCAGCAACTTTAGCGTAGGCGGTAATTCCCTGGGCGCTTTGACGATAGTTTTCATCGTTGGCATATTTTACAGCTACCACCACGTTGGGGTCCGGCATCGCCAAGCTCGCGATCACAGCGTTTATCTGGTCCAAAGGAGGGTCGGGCGAGGTTTCCGTGGCTTGAACCTACAGCGAAAGAGAAATTCAGCACTTTCCGCCAACGCAGTCCCACAGCGGTCGCGGGGGAAGAGGGCAGTTTGATGTATTGTTTTTTCGTTTTTTTTTTTGAACGGATCGCTGGACCACCTTACCTTGCGTCTCTTGCCCCTAGGCTTTGAGGGAGAGGAATTCTGAGCGTGTTGATCGGGCGTGGAATCATGACGATTACGAGTTCGCCGAAGCGCTGAAGTGGGCATCGCGGTTGAAACAAAATTGGTTCCGTTCTGTTTCTCCGTCTTCCAATGTTACCGGGTTGTCTCCGGGCTGTGATGACAAAAGCAGTAATTAGCAACTCCACATCACGCGTAAAGCCCTACACATCAACAGGGCGACTGTCGGATGGGCATGACCACGATCATGAGATAAAGCAACTGGAGGGGGGGGAGGGGGATTTGGAAAAAGTACCGGTCTCTAGTGCACTCGGACAGGGAAGCAATGAAGGGTGTTCTCAGCAGTGGTGCCGATGGGGCAAGAAGCGATGAGATGCGCTGGTTTGTGGAAGGATAACTGCAGAGACGGGGAGCGACGCGGTGTTTGAACCGTGAAAGTGGGCTGGGGTGGGAGGGGAGAATGGGATCGCGTTCCAAAAGGTAAGGTGGACCGCCGAGCGGCGCTGCAGCCACCGCCGCAAATGTCGCAAGAGGAGGTAAGGGCGACTTTGCGAAACAGAAATTCACTCCGTGGTCGTGTGGAGGCCGTTTGGGGGAGGCAGAAATGGGAGAATGGGTGGTGGTTCGGAAACGAAGTGGGAGCTGAGCATGACGATGGCGATGTTTACGAGGACGAGAGATGGTGCCCACCAACCAGCCAACCAACCAACCAACCAAGCCTAGCCCTTCTCCTCGGGAACAACGAGACGGTCATGGAGAACACAATTCACAACAGAACTTTATTAATAGGAATACACGACCCGAAGCGCAAAGGGGGGGAACGCGAACTCTGGCGGTAACTGTCGGCGAGTGATCTCAAGCGAGATTGATCTCGCGCTCTCCATTCTACGTGAAGCAAAAGCAGCAACACCACGAGGTAGCGAAACCCGGCCGCTTGACCACCTCCACTTCCCAGAATCTTGGCGCCCGTTTGAGCCTCTATCTCCCCTTCCTCCCTTCGTCCTATCCCATGCGGCCTACGAGCATGATGGCGGCATTTTCTCTGAATTCCTCAGATCTCCACCCTGCCTTGGTGAGGGATGCGCCGGTCTGGGAGGAGTCGAGTAAAAAGGGAAGGGGAGAATTAGGGCTCACCTCTCCACGAACGAAGTATTGCGTGCCGATTCTTCATAGGGCTCAGATATGACGGGAATGTGTATTATTATCGCGAGAATGGCGAGACGAGTGCCAAAAGGAAACATTGCGTCACCTGGCAGTCCCGTTGGGGTAAGGCGTTGGCAGTGAGGGTTTCCGGGATCGGGATAGAACAGGCGAGACTTCCTCAACGTCGAACCCGTGTGGTTGGGAATGTGGATGGAGCTTGGGAGGGGCACGAAGACCTCACACGTCCTCCTCCTCCTCCTCCTCCTCCTCACTCGACCTCCCCGGACGGACCATTGTCTGGCGATCACACTACCATTAGCTCTGCCGTTGCCTTCCCGCTTCAAAACCCGAGCCCTCGTTTGCGCCGTGCCCAAAATTACCGGGGAGGGGCGATCTTTTTCTTTTTTTCTTTTTTTTTTTCCGATATCAATACGATCCGGATGGGTTGGGCTGGCGGAGGAGTTGCCTGTAGTCCTCTATCATATGAGCACGGGTGGTCCAGATGACGGCCATGAAATCGTAACATCGTGCTCATCATGCCCGGTATCCACGGGCACCGCTGTATCCTACCCATAACAACAACCCCATACACATGCACACACACACGCGCGCGCGCGCGACCGTGATCTCTTCACTAGTCGTTCGGTCAATCGGTGCCTATTGCATCCTCGCCTGTGAACGTGCCCCGGTGAAAGGTGCTGGAGATACGGTAGATAGATGGACGCCTTCGCAGACCTAGCACGGTAGCTATCGTAATGTGACAGCGCCACCTCCCCCCCCCCTCTATCATTAGCCGTCCGCACATCGTCCGCTCCCGTCCCCTGTCAACTTCGAATGACATGATGAATAGTGCAGGAGTCGCGAGCGATCTCCGTTCCAATTGAGGGGCTAACAACCGAAGAGCTAACCTGCTAACGGGCGGGATGGATTCCTTACCCTTGTTTCCTACCGCTGCAGAGCATGAGGACTGCTCAATCCATGAGGGCCTCTTCTCCATATGGTGGAGGGCACGTGTCTCTCCGTGTTTGAATTGTCGAGCAGATCCTCCGCACTCTGCCTGTGAGTGATGCTCAAGTCAACTTCTTATCCACCTTAAAGCATCCGATAAAGGTCAAGTCAAGTCAAGTCAAGTCAAGCCAGTGGACTGTGAATCCCGATAGTGTCTACCCGCACCCGCTAAATTTCTAGTACTGGCAGTCTAGCTTACTTACTATACAGTGCAGCAGCATAAGCTCAACCTCGTGCCAGTTCCGATAACGACAGTCACCCCCACCAGGTCCAACCAAATCTCAGCATCTACCGTACACCTACGGGAATTGTATGATATATCCCGTAACTAGACTGCCCGTCTCACCCGGAACAGTTAACCAAACGCCGTAATATATACCAGCAAGCGCAACTCGATCCATAGCATACCGGTACAGTACCATACCTCTCTATGATGGTACGCTGCATGCTATACCATAATACCGGTATCTTTGGTAAAACTATCCTCCCCTCCGCCAGATATCCTCCTCGCACAAACCCGGCGTCTCGGACATAGGCGGTAGCCTGATATGATACAGCACAAATCTCCCCACGCATTCGCTCACCCACCCACAGAAGTAAGTTAGTGCGTTGGTTCGTACTCTACAAGTACAATCTTACTACCCGCGACAATGCACAAAGATGAGCGATGAGCAAAAAAAACGCCCCCACCAGCGCCCGCAGCAGCAGTGGGTAGCAGTTTCAGGAGTATCCCCACGAACATGTATCCGGTACAGTACCAGTACCGCGAGGGAGAAAAAAAGAACGGGTAAAGAAAAGAAAAGAAAGCGAAGGAAAAGAAAATTGTGGGCATAAAGGCCTCATAGGATGTATTATCATTCCATCAATCCTCTCAAGCCCTTTCCTTCTGCCCTTTTCTCTCCCGAATACCGTAGTGCTTGAGTGTATTGTACCGCAGTCCGAGTGGGATCTGACCGACCAACCGAAATGAGCTCCAGTGATGAATACCGTAAAATAAAATCTCTGCAATGTTACAGTGTCGTACCCGGCATCGACCATCCAGTTTCGGCAGAACGAGTTTTTGTGGTTGGGTGGGAGTGTTTGGCCAAGGTCCGAGGCATGCTAAGGGTATTCAGGGTTAAAAACAAGAATTTTGTATATGGTGGAAGAACGGAAGAGTGTCAACCATGTGGCACAGTAAAATGCAACAGTGGCTGTACAACCAGACTGCCAAGCCTATCCTGATGGATTATAAGTCTGATATTGTAAATTGTATCATATATACAAGATAGTATAATATGATATGTATATCAATTTGATATATGTAATAATCCTACAATAATGAGCTATAGTAACCTATGTCTACACCCATATATGCAACCAGGAGGTCAAGTGATAGACTAGGTGGACTTGCAGGAGCAGGTCATAGGAGATGTTTGATGGTCTGAGCATCTCTACAAGCGGATAGTACTTATAGGATAGATGTACCTAAGTAGTAGTAGTAACATAACTATGTTTATACCAGCCTAAGGATAGGTTGGAAGATTGGATAAAGTCATTGTGTCTTAGAAACTAGTAGTATTCCTAAGCCAAATGGGTCTCATGTAAAGGTGGGTGGTCTTCCTTTAGGGAGTATGCCACCAACCATTTGAATGTCTCAGCCTGTAGTTGCTTGTGGTGATTCGGTCATATCGGTGTGCAAAGGTTTACCGTTCTGTGTGATTTGAAGTATGTCTGACATATTGTTCCTCGTTAAGTTCCTGTTGGTGTGTGAGTTATATTTCCAACGCCCAAGGAGCCAAAGATCCCTTGTATCCTCCTTTGTGACAAAGGACAGAAGTTGTACCATGGTACATAGTTGTAGGGGGCAGGGTCTAAGGGTCGGGTAGTCTAAGGCACACCACGACAGGGGCAGGCAAGAGTTCAGAGGCGTGATCTAAGGACAGGGGTACAACCAAGGCGAGTTGTACAAGGTTTGGGGGTCAGGGGTTCAGGGTCAGGGTTCAGAGGTTCCGGAGGACGCGAAGTAGAAGAAAGTATAATTCCTAGATACAGGTGTCCAAATTCAATCTAAGTTTATTTATCCTAGTCGTGCCAAAACATGGCATATGATCTAGCTATCATCTCTTGTAACCCATAAATCATAACAAAATCACAACTGTGTCAAAATACCCCGTAACCCTTTTTCCAAACATAAATCCAAAAATCACTACCAACAGACTCATGGGCCCTCGAGCCGTAACCGACAACCCGGATTAACTGTTAGGGGGTAGGTAACTCTAAAGTCAAGCAAGTATACACTAGGCCCTGTAATTTTCTGTCTCGGAGATAGTCAAGAAGGCTCATGAAGATAGAAGTAAAGTAGAACGAATATATTGATAAGATCTCTTCTCCGGTCGCTGATGATCCCCTTAAAAAGCTAGGGTATTTTTTTTTTTTTTTTGTTTAACTCATATATTCGTTGTTAAGGTACAAGAACCTGCATGGAGCGCTAGCTATGGCAAAAACAAAACCTTAATTTCAGACGCATTCCTCCGCATCCTAGGGACCAAAACAACCCCCCCAAGACCCTCTGGTATGGGCCTAACCGCACATCCTGCCCCGCAAAGGAACAATCGTCCCCTACAGGGAAGGCAGGAGAGAGAAGAAAATCCTTCAGCGTCATCCAGACAAAGGAAAGAATAGAATAGGAAACCCCCAAATGCCTCTACAGGCGTCCCTGAACGAATATGTCTGCTGTCAGGCCCATGGTAGGACCCTGGCGAAGTGCCATGACAGGGCTGGCCAGCTCAACCCAGGAAATAGTGCAATACCAAGGTAGGCCAACCGGTCGTTCGGCCAGGGGTGGGCAACAAGCGTGGAGGGAGGAAGACAGGCGAGGAATGCCCGCAACCTTTGATAGAGGGGGGCAGCCGATACTGCCCAGGAGGGAGGGGGTAGACCCCAGCCATGAGGAGTCTGGTGGTGGTGAAGGTTGGATGGTGCCTGTAGTGACACCAGAGCCAGGAAAGAGTTGAAGCGCTGCCGCGAGGGTGGCAGAAGTGAGAGCAGCACCAAGTGATACTGACATGGAGGGGAGGCGGGAAGGGTAGGCTGAAGTGCTACCTCCTCAGTGATGATGGGTGTCACGGCCACCCGGCTATGGAGACGGAATATGCATGGGTTTTTGGTTGCATATATGGGATGTGGTTTCCGTGGTTGCATAGTGGAATTTCCTTTGTATAGGCGAATGGGACGCGTTGCCATGCTACAGAAGATGGCGGAACCAGACGGAGGAATCGTGGCTGCGCACAACGCCAAGGACTTTCTTTTGTATTGGTAATCAGGGAGGATTTCCTTAGTCTATAAAGGGGTGTACCCCTTTATATTTTTCTTTCTTCACGCAATCTGGTAATCTCCTTTGGACACCTGTACCTAGGAATTACACCCTCTACTATCTGGTGTCCTCTTGAACCTCTGAACCCTGACCCTGAACCCCTGAACCTCGAACCTCGTACAACTCGCTTAGGTTGTACCCCCGCACCTAGACCTCGTCTCCCGAGTCCTGCCTGTCCTGATCGT